ACTGTAGACTATATATTTCAATAACAACACGTCTGTTAAGTTTATCACATCTATTTATGCAGCTTGTCGGACAAGGTGTATCAGCGTAAATAAGACGCAGACAGGCCTTGTGTTGCTGTGTTGTGTAGGGCCTTGTGTGTTGCTGTGCTGTGTAGGGCCTTGTGTGTTGCTGTGCTGTGTCGGGCTTTGTGTGTATCTGTACTGTATTGGGCCTTGTGTGTTGCTGTGCTGTGTAGGGCCTTGTGTGTTGCTGTGCTGTGTCGGACTGTGTTGCTGTTCTGTGTCGGGCCTTGTGTGTTGCTGTGCTGTGTCGGGCCTTGTGTGTTGCTGTTCTTTGTCGGGCCTTGTGTGTTGCTGTGCTGTGTCGGGCCTTGTGTGTTGCTGTGCTGTGTCGGGCCTTGTGTGTTGCTGTGCTGTGTAGGGCCTTGTGTGTTGCTGTGCTGTGTCGGGCTTTGTGTGTATCTGTACTGTATTGGGCCTTGTGTGTTGCTGTGCTGTGTCGGGCCTTGTGTGTTGCTGTGCTGTGTCGGACTTGTGTTGCTGTGCTGTGTCGGGCCTTGTGTGTTGCTGTGCTGTGTCGGGCCTTGTGTGTTGCTGTGCTTTGTCGGGCCTTGTGTGTTGCTGTGCTGTGTCGGGCCTTGTGTGTTGCTGTGCTGTGTCGGGCCTTGTGTGTTGCTGTGCTGTGTCGGGCCTTGTGTGTTGCTGTGCTGTGTCGGGCCTTGTGTGTATCTGTACTGTATTGGGCCTTGTGTGTTGCTGTGCTGTGTCGGGCCTTGTGTGTTGCTGTGCTGTGTCGGACTGTGTTGCTGTTCTGTGTCGGGCCTTGTGTGTTGCTGTGCTGTGTCGGGCCTTGTGTGTTGCTGTGCTGTGTCGGGCCTTGTGTGTTGCTGTGCTGTGTCGGGCCTTGTGTGTTGCTGTGCTGTGTCGGGCCTTGTGTGTTGCTGTGCTGTGTTGGGCCTTGTGTGTTGCTGTGCTGTGTCGGGCCTTGTGTGTATCTGTACTGTATTGGGCCTTGTGTGTTGCTGTGCTGTGTCGGGCCTTGTGTGTTGCTGTGCTGTGTCGGCCTGTGTGTGCTGTGTGCTGTGTCGGGCCTTGTGTGTTGCTGTGCTGTGTCAGGCCTTGTGTGTTGCTGTGCTGTGTCGGGCCTTGTGTGTTGCTGTGCTGTGTTGGGCCTTGTGTGTATCTGTGCTGTGTTGGGCCTTGTGTGTTGCTGTGCTGTGTCGGGCTTTGTGTGTATCTGTACTGTGTTGGGCCTTGTGTGTTGCTGTGCTGTGTCGGGCCTTGTGTGTTGCTGTGCTGTATTGGGCCTTGTGTGTTGCTGTGCTGTGTCAGGCCATGTGTGTTGCTGTGCTGTGTTGGCCTTGTGTGTTGCTGTGCTGTGTCGGGCCTTGTGTGTATCTGTACTGTGTGTTGGGCCTTGTGTGTTGCTGTGCTGTGTCGGGCCTTGTGTGTTGCTGTGCTATGTCAGGCCTTGTGTGTTGCTGTGCTGTGTCGGGCCTTGTGTGTTGCTGTGCTGTGTCGGCCCTGTGTGTTGCTGTGCTGTGTTGGGCCTTGTGTGTTGCTGTGCTGTGTCGGGCCTTGTGTGTATCTGTACTTTGTCGGGCCTTGTCTGTTGCTGTTCTGTGTCGGGCCTTGTGTGTATCTGTACTTTGTCGGGCCTTGTGTGTATCTGTGCTGTGTCGGGCCTTGTGTGTTGCTGTGCTGTGTCGGGCCTTGTGTGTTGCTGTGCTGTATTGGGCCTTGTGTGTTGCTGTGCTGTGTCAGGCCATGTGTGTTGCTGTGCTGTGTCGGGCCTTGTGTGTTGCTTGGTTGTGTCGGGCCTTGTGTGTATCTGTACTGTATTGGGCCTTGTGTGTTGCTGTGCTGTGTCGGGCTTGTGTGTTGCTGTGTTATGTCAGGCCTTGTGTGTTGCTGTGCTGTGTAGGGCCTTGTGTGTTGCTGTGCTGTGTTGGGCCTTGTGTGTATCTGTACTTTGTCGGGCCTTGTGTGTTGCTGTGCTGTGTCGGGCCTTGTGTGTATCTGTACTGTGTTGGCCTTGTGTGTTGCTGTGCTGTGTCGGGCCTTGTGTGTTGCTGTGCTGTGTCGGGCCTTGTGTGTTGCTGTGCTGTGTCGGGCCTTGTGTGTTGCTGTGCTGTGTCGGGCCTTGTGTGTTGCTGTGCTGTGTTGGGCCTTGTGTGTTGCTGTGCTGTGTCGGGCCTTGTGTGTATCTGGACTGTGTTGGGCCTTGTGTGTTGCTGTGCTGTGTCGGGCCTTGTGTGTATCTGTACTGTGTTGGGCCTTGTGTGTTGCTGTGCTGTGTCGGGCCTTGTGTGTTGCTGTGTTGTGTCGGGCCTTGTGTGTTGCTGTGTTGTGTCGGGCCTTGTGTGTTGCTGTGCTGTGTTGGGCCTTGTGTGTTGCTGTGCTGTGTCGGGCCTTGTGTGTATCTGTACTGTGTTGGGCCTTGTGTGTTGCTGTGCTGTGTCGGGCCTTGTGTGTTGCTGTGCTGTGTCGGGCCTTGTGTGTATCTGTACTGTGTCGGGCCTTGTGTGTTGCTGTGCTGTGTCGGGCCTTGTGTGTTGCTGTGCTGTGTTGGGCCTTGTGTGTATCTGTACTATGTCGGGCCTTGTGTGTTGCTGTGCTGTGTTGGGCCTTGTGTGTATCTGTACTTTGTCGGGCCTTGTGTGTTGCTGTGCTGTGTTGGGCCTTGTATGTATCCGTACTTTGTCGGGCCTTGTGTGTTGCTGTGCTGTGTTGGGCCTTGTGTGTATCTGTACTTTGTCGGGCCTTGTGTGTATCTGTACTGTGTTGGGCCTTGTGTGTTGCTGTGCTGTGTCGGGCCTTGTGTGTATCTGTACTTTGTCGGGCCTTGTGTGTTGCTGTGCTGTGTTGGGCCTTGTGTGTATCTGTACTTTGTCGGGCCTTGTGTGTTGCTGTGCTGTGTCGGCCCTTGTGTTGCTGTGCTGTGTCGGGCCTTGTGTGTTGCAGTGTTTGTTGACGGGGTATCACAGGCCCTACGTGGCTAACGGATCCGCCTTCCATAAAAATTAAAAGTAACAGAAGAATATTGCGTTTCCATATACCCCCGACAACAAAACCGTGATGATGTAATGGTGATAATATAAGTGATACCAAAATATATAACATGGATTTAAATACTAAAACGAAAATATATACATGAACTTGAGAGGAGAAACTGAGCATCTGAGAGAGGCATCAAATTTGGGCAAAACTTCGGAGAGAGATGTCGACTCAAAGGAAAAGACAGAGATTAGAATATAATCTTAGTGAAAGGTAGTGAGTGAGTTAATATTTAACGTCAAGTGAAAGGTAGAGATAAGTATGTAATTGACATGACAGGGATAGAGATATCATATAGGAATAAACGACGGAGCGACATCGGAGCGGAAGAGATATCAAACCGAAGTAAGATACGGAGAGAGGCATCAAATCGGAATAAATGACAGAAAGAGGTATCAAATATCAGTAAACGACAGATATAGGTATCAGGTACAGGTATAGGTACAGCAATGACTGTGAGAGGTATCAAATATCAGTAAACGACAGATATAGGTATAGGTACAGCAATGACTGTGAGAGGTATCAAATATCAGTAAACGACAGATATAGGTATCAGGTACAGGTATAGGTACAGCAATGACAGTGAGAGGTATCAAATATCAGTAAACGACAGATATAGGTATAGGTATAGGTACAGCAATGACAGTGAGAGGTATCAAATATCAGTAAACGACAGATATAGGTATAGGTACAGCAATGACAGTGAGAGGTATCAAATATCAGTAAACGACAGATATAGGTATAGGTACAGCAATGACTGTGAGAGGTATCATTATATATAGTATCAAATCGTGAAAATTCAAGCGTTCCTTTAATATTTTCCAGTTTTCATCACCAGCTTTGAACAGCGCTGTGGGAGGAAATCTGAGAATAAATAAAGGAACACTGCCATGATGTGGTGTTCCGTTAATTGTTTCCATCAGTATATGTTGGTGACAAGTATTTTTGTCCAAGGACAGCGAAAAGTTAAAACAACAAAGCTTTACATTACTATCTGAGCACTCGGGGTAGAAAGTATTCGATTTCAGTTCAAATATTATCACATCAACCGTCACAACAAATCCGGTTCCTATCCAGGAAACGATAGACGTGTGGTATATTGTAAATGGCTGTCATCTCACCGTTTTTTGTGTTATTTCTGGTTCCAATTAGCTAATGAAACGACGTGATTATAACTCGTCAAAATAAGAGTTTCCTGACACACAGTTGTTAACAGTCTTCCCAAACAAATCTCCACCCCATCGCGTATATCATTATCGCGGGATTATGCACAGTAATAGTCGGTTGAAATTACGGGAATGTGTTTTGGGTGTTAAAGCCTTGACAATGATCTACTGGAACAAACATGATCGTCGATTTCTATAGCCAGAGTGTTCGGTTTATATATGGGATACAGCAATCGATATAGTGACTTTGACGTCCTGAAAAACATTTAATCCGCAATTGCTCTTTGCACTCGTATATCGCTTGTACATTGCGAGTATTCCCTGCCTTGCTTACACATACGGATTTGTTGTGGACAGAATTAATTTAACACACGTTGATCGAGGCTTAGTAATTGTCAGTTGTCTGGCACGGATTTTAACATCCATCCCTGCAATTTGTTAGCAGGGAGGAAGGTGTGTTTCCAGCACATTACGATTCCAACTGAGCGAGGATTTTGGTAAAATGTCTAAGTCGGCGGTTTCTGGTTTTCAACAGTTAACTAACTGTAGATGAAGAAACAAGAAGAAATTGATTGTTATTGAACAGTCTTAATTCAGTGTTTATTTTAAAAAATGGATGGAAGAGCTGGACTGAAACGTATTTAATCATCGGCGATATTTCTTTTCAACAGTTTTTTTCTCGTGATTATGGTTCTGTTAACGTAGTTGCAACGTTTGAATGACCTTGAACTTAACGTCGCCGCTGGAGCGTTAATCTCGGATTATCCTCAGATTAACATGATGAACGTCACGGACAACGCGCCTGTCACCACGTCTGGTACTGTAACAGGGGTACTCATATTCTCGTGTGTTGTGTTTGGTGTTGCCGGTGTTGTCGGCACTACAGGAAACGTCACGACGCTGGTGACGTTGGTCAAATACAGGCCGTTCCAGTCAGCGGAAATAGTACTGTTCGCCAACCTTTTGCTTTCGGATATGTTTGTTACAGCCATAGCAGATCCGATGAGTATTATAGGTAAGAAGCCGTTTAATATTTTTCTTTTGTGTGCATGTAATTATAATTTATTCCATTCGAAATTTCAGTTATTGTATTATTTATCGTGGAGGTACGAGTATGAAATACTATATGATACCTCGTATCGACTGTATTCATATTGATAGCTGGTATTTTTGTGTCAAATATTCTAGATTTTATATTAATTTGATGAAATAGCAACCCAAGGAATTCCAAACACACTTCAAAGGAATTTAAAGGAGAGAGGCTAAGATTTGCTCAGAAATGATTTAATAAAAGTTGCTTAACCATTGACATTAAGTCTCATTGTCTATGGTAAACAATGACACATTTCTTGGCGGCGCGTCAAAACGATCAGCACTCTTGGATGAAACGATAGCATGTACATGACAATACATTTGCATTATCAAAATCACCTGAACTGAAAAACTGTTCACAATTAAATGTATCATATAATGATAATGATTAAATCAATATTATGTTGCATCCTGATTTTAAAATATGTACATAAAAACATAAAAACAGCAGAATCCACATGTTCACACCCAACGTAATTTTGTATAGAACTTAACTTGTTGGCTTTTGCTATAAGCAATATTTCTTTCAATATTATACCTGTTGTTGAAATAATGTTTGTAGTGATTGAAATTTAGGTTTGTTTTCAAAACTTATAGATAAATATTTACAGATAAAGAATTTAGTTAAAAGCAACAGTTGGTCAAACACATCGAAAATACGTCTTTTTCATTATATCCTATCGTTTCAGCAAAGACTCTAGGGTGGAAATTCTTCTCCCCTCTTCAGCCTCTCTGCGTCATCATCGGCACCATCTGCACCGTCTCCTGCGTCGTCTCTCTTCTCACCATAGCAACCATCGGCGTCAACCGCTACCTTATCGTGTGTCACAGTCACGGCTTCGACGGTAAGAGGGTCCAGAGTATCATCTTAACGTGCATCTACGGTTGGGCGTTGACCGTCGTCTCGATGACGTTTTTCGGATTTGGACGTCACGGCTTCAACCACAAGACCCACATGTGCCTCCTTGTCCAGAGTCCGAGTACAGGAAGGTTCATGGTGTTCTTCGTCGTCGTGTGTTTATGGACGCCGATGTTGGCGACGTTGCTGTCGTACGGAAATCTGTATCATCGCGTTGCGAAGTCACGACGTCGGATCGTCGCCGTCACGAAGGGAAACAGGAGACGCAAGAAACAGGGTGATTCCGTCCAGTTGGCCAAAACCGCCTTCACCATCTTCTCCGTCTTTGTCATCTGCTGGTTTCCTATTTCCTTACTGTTTCTGTTGGACAGGCACGGCGGTGTCAACACCAACGTCAGCATCTTGTTGTCGACGTTCGCCCACATACATCCTTCGCTCAACTTCTTCGTCTTTTACGGCACCAACAAACGATTCAGAAACGCAGTGAAGGCGTTGGTTCTGGGGAAGTCCCGCCAAGTACTAAACAACCAGTCAATTGCAACGATCACAACGGAGATGTAACGGAAGTATTCTTTTCGGACATCGAACAGGTCTTTTTTATCGTCGGATTAAAGGTTTTCGGACTTCATGCATATTCGGACGGCAGTGGTTATACTAGACTAACGCTTAGTCCCTGAATATATATAATTTTGATGGTAAGAAATAATCCCATTTAAATTGAAAAGGAGCCCCCAGTGAGTTGGGAGATTCAGAACCTGAGGTAATCTAGACTTGCCCCATTTAGGGTTTTAGCATTGCGGGGTGGGGCGGGGGTGGTGGTTCTAGGCATTAGGGAAAGTAATATGGTTCAGGGACTGTGCGACAGACTATGGTTACACGGGCTATAACGAGGTGTATTGGGTAACACAAACATTAAGTCTTGAATGGTGGCCCGTGTCAAGGATAAATCTTTATTAATTATTGCGATGCTTTATAATCGTTGGTGTGATTAGAAACATAACAACATATTGTTTGTTTAGTGTTAATAACCCACACATATGTTATTAATTCTGAGTAGTGGTACTTCAAGTATCTGTCAGTTGCACTTTGAAATATATATATTGCATGTAATTCGGTGTTACTTCATTACCTAAACGAGCCCATAGATCAAAAATAAAGTTGAGTAGTTCATAAATCCGTTCAATTTTGTTTTTAAAGTATGAGCAGTGGTACCTAAGGTATCTGTTAGTTGCACTTTAATATATATATACTAGTATATATATTGCTTGTAGTTCGGGGTTACTTAATCACCTAAACGAACCCACAGATCAAAAATAAAACTGTCACACCTATGAACTGGTCACTGTTTCCTGATTGACTAACAGCAGAAGGGGTGGGGCTTGTGTGTGATATAGACACTTTTGTGTGTTTTGGTTTTGTTTCAGGGGAATACTTTCTGAACAGAATTAATCTTGCTCGTGAGAGGCTGTATGCCGTGAAGTGGTACCTTTTGATTTAATGAAAAAGATCGGTGGCTTTGTACACCGGCAAATACTCAGAATCCTTGAACCCCAGCCATTACGAGGCTCTTTCCCAGAAGCCAGAAGCCCCAAGAAACTGGTTCAGATATGAGCAAAACAAGAGTATATCTTACACTTAAATTAAGATTTATATATTCGAAAATTAATTCAAATGTTTTTCAAACAAGCTTAGAATATGTCTCTATCAAAATAAACAGTATTTTCTTTTAGGCACCACCTTCATGTGACGTTGGCCATTATGGACGTGTTTGTGAAAATGGTACATCTATACTATACTGTGATACCCCATACCGCACATACTACAGTATATAGCCAAATGTACAGCCCTATCGTATTTCTCTTCCTTGAGGGTGTGATCCATTTGTGTGGCAGCCGTGGAGGCTGAGTGGGTTAGATCTCTGACTGGATTCGATTCAACCCCAGTTAGTTGAGTGAGTTTAGTTTTATGCCGCTTTTAGCAATATTCCGACAATATCACGGCGGGGTACACCAAAACGGGGTTTCATACATTGTACCCATGTGGGGAATCGAACCCGGGTCTTCGGCGTGACGAGCCAACGCTTTAACCACTAGGCTACCCTACCGCCCCTAACTCCAATTAGTACTACAATCTATACGTTAATGAGAAATTGTAATTTCAAATTTAACATGATGACATTCTGAAAGGCATGGAGTTTATGTAGCTTTTGGCCATGCCAATATGCAGTCAAAACCAAATTTCAGTTGCTTTATGTATACTTTCTGGTGCAAATGACATAAACATTACGACCATGAGCAAGAGCTAATCGATGCTAAGTTGGTCGTAAGAAAGGGGGCGAATGGGCCAAGAACATTTATCAGGATGGAATACCCCAATTAACAGACACATAATAAATAATACTAATTAGTCCATTTAGTATGACAGTTCAGTATTACCCCGGGTAACCCAAGCTGCCTGTTAGGCGCTTGAAGGTTATAGTCACATGATATCCCACTGGGTACCCATTTTCTGCAGGGTGAACAGAGGTAATTTTGAACAAGCTCATTTGCCTAAGGTGAGACCACATTTATCACATGTGCTTCGTTGTGGGGCAGGACTGACGTCTTAGAAACTCTCAGGAGTAAAGCTGCCAAACACGGTCACCCATCCAAGGACTCTCCGCGCTCAATGTTGCTTAACTTCAACTGATTCGTGACCGGACGTACAGTCAATCCTTGAATGAACTTGTCAATAGAGAAGTGCAATAGGGGTCATCGATATATTTCCTGCATATTGCATGGTTTGTCAAATAACCGGCGCATATACTGGGCGATTTACTTCCTCTCTGACAATTCGTTCAGATATTATGTAGGTAAGTTAGCCACAGTGAGCCGAGAGTTCAAAGGTCATTTATGCACAAGGAAGACTTCCGGAAGCACTTTCGTCTCTGTCACCGAACACGATCTTTCAGCCATTTTTTACATCAGCCATTTGGTTTCCTGGTGACGATGAATATTAACTCGATTCCTAGAACTGTGCCACGAAGTAGGGTGTGGTCTGGGATGAGTATAGCGTTTCTACTGATGCAACATGTTTGTAATTAGGTCACTTTGTTTTGTGTTACAAGTAATGCGCATTTTGTCGGATTCTTGGTAGTTAGGGCAAACAAGGGTTTTTGTGTTTATAACAAAGTAGAAATTGTAAGACAGGATATCTTCGGTCACTTCTTCACAGCATACACTTGTTTGCTGGGAAAGTTGGTTGGTTGGTTGGTTGTTGTTTAACGCCGCACTCAGCAATATTCCAGCAACATGGCGGCGGTCTGTAAATAATCGAGTCTGGACCAGACAATCCAGTGATTAATAGCATGAGCATCGATCTACGCAATTGGGATACGATGACATGTGTCAACCAAGTCAGCGAGCCTGACCACCCGATCCCGTTAGTCGCCTCTTACGACAAGCATGGGTTACTGAAGACCAGTTCGGACCTTAATCTTCTCGGAAAGGAAAAAACGATGAAAAGTGTTGTTTTTTCTTTCATAACACAACTTTCTTATGACATCCAACTTGTCTTTAAGTTTTATGTATGTGTGCGTGTGTGTGTGTGTGTGCGTGCGCGCGCGCTAAAAACTAGAAGATAAATTAATATTTCCAGGAACAAACTGTTGTGTCAAATGGTCGTTCTCTAAGAATATGACGAACCAATCGCACCGACCCCCAAGATGATACTTTGGAACCATTTCGCTGCCAGCTCAAGACGTTGAAATTTGTTTCTTGATCCATCAGATGAATCATCTATTTAAGGCAAATCACTTTTGCCATACTGATACATAATTTTGTTTATGGACTTGAAACATGCTGGGACTGTCATTTTACTCGAATCAAGACCCCCTTTAAATATCATGTTCACACTCGCGAGTGGGTGTGGTTTTATGCCGCATTTGTATATTATTGCTATATCACCAGAAATGGGCCTCAGGCAATGTTCGTGTGTGTTGAATTGAACCCGGCCTTCAGCGTGACCAGCTTTTACTTCTAGGCTAACCTACAGCACCTACCAGTGTTGGGAATCGAAAACAGGTCCATTGCTTTAATCACAATTACATCGCCCCTAGTCGCAGATGGAGGTTTCACCCGTGAAGATCCGGGTTAGAATTGGTCTTTAGTAACCCATGCTTGTCGTAAGAGGCGACTAACGGGATCGGGTGGTCAGGCTCACTGACTTGGTTGACACATGTCATGGTATCCAAATTGCGTAGATCGATCTTCATGATGTTGAAGACTGGATGCTGGTCCAGACTCGATAATTATAAGCCATATAGTTGGACTGTGCGGCGTTCAACAACCATGAAGGTTTCAGCTTCCACTTTTTGGGCCTTCATGCCAACCACTTTTGTTTACTTCTCACTGATAACAACATCTACTCGGACGCTGACCTATATTAAAGTAGATTGTAAGTATCCCCCAAGTGTATTGTTGTAGATCGCTATCGTCACATGAGCATGACAAGTTGTTGTGTTCAAGTATGTCCTCTTGTATATTTAACAGGTATCAAATCTTTATAATAGCCATGTGTGTAGTGCTTATTATGCATCAGCTCCTTCAACATTATTCGTTTCGTCAATCCATATTTTGATTGCTACTTAAAAGAATAAAACGGACATGGCCAATTTCTAACTCTGAATTTAGCACTTATTACAAGAGGTAAGGCGCCATTGTATTGAGTGATGTAAGGTCTAAAAACTTCCTTTTATGTGCGAAAAATAGATTTTATCATTTGACTGCAATGAGAGTTATTTTGTTTTTACCGACAACCTCTGTCCCGAAGTGGTTTACGAGTGGGCTAGCACCATAGTTCACTAGTTCTGATCTGTGCATACACCTCATGAACGTACATACACGCACACACACACGCGCGCGCACACACGCACACATTGTCATATCTCTTAAACTCAATTTGCCTCACCTCACCTCAGCAAACTGATGTTACTTTTGAAAATTTATCCTTTTGATAAACATTTATTATATTTATAAGCTTCACACATATAACGAATTAACCCGAACTCATAACTGTGACATATATAATGATATGGCGTATGAATAACTTCCGGTATTTTCAATTGTCGAATCACGTGCTCCGATGGTCACGTGACTGCTCCTCTTATAGTGGAAAATGGCACTTCCGATTACATCCGGGTTACCCGGTTCACCAGCCGCCTTAAATTAATAAACATCTCGATGACATCAGCAGAGAGTTTTCCTCGTGAGTACAATACCACGCCCAGCCAGAACTGATTTAACTGTCATTATCAACGCCGGGCCACGCGTGCACACGTCCGTAAACACATTCAACGTTCAAACGTTGTTCCGTCGCCACTGTCGCCTCCGTCTGCGTATCCTGTTGCACTGAATATGATCGGCAGTACATTGAAGATTTTCATTAACTAAAACTGACTTTAAATCTGGTACCATCGAGAACCAATATGAGTTCTGATTCTGTGAACAGTAGTATTTTCAAATTTGGTCGCCATGAATTTTTCAATGAAGAAACTGAAATGGCGATACCAATTCTCATAATTCTTGGACTGGCGACGTTAATGGGAACGTTTGGCAACATTCTGATTCTTGTAGCGGTGGCAACGAGGAAATCCCTTCACAACGTGGAATCCATCTTCATCGTCAACCTGGCCTGCTCCGACATGTACGTCACAGCCTTAGCAGATCCCATGAGTGTCGTAGGTGAGAGGGTCATTCATTCATTTCTGCAGTCTTCATACTAAACCGGGGGCGGTGGGGTAGCCTAATGGTCAAAGCGTCCGCTCGTCACGCCGAAGACCCGGGTTCGATTCGATGGGTACAATGTGTGAAGCCCATTTCTGGTGTCCCCAGCCGTGATATTGCTGGAATATTGCTAAAAGCGGCGTAAAACCATACTCACTCACTCATACTAAACCGGGGCGGTTGGTTAGACTAGTAGTTTAAGTTTGTTTTGATTGTTAGTGCGTTGTTTAACTTCGCAATCAGCAATATTCCAGCTATATGGCGGTGTTCTGTAAATAACTGAATCTGGACCAGACAATCCAGTGATCACATGAGCATAAAAGTTGTCAAATATTGGTTAAAACTGTAAAATATGCCTCCATATCGGTTACCGAAAAAATGTTATAATATGATGTTATTGGATGATGAAAATGGACAAAGAAATTGGACATCTCATGTTAAGAACTTCTTATTCTCTATTCAGTCGTTAACCAGAAGACCTAAAGACTTCAAACATGGTGTGAGAAAATATCTTTGTCAAATAAATGTTTTTACTATTCAAGATTTAGAAAAAGATCTATTTAATGAAGTGTACTTATCATGTGTTCATATAAAGAAATTTAGGCGATCACTAGCAAGATTCCGATGTTCATCTCGTGGATCGAACCCGCGACGATTTGTTGATTGAAAGCGGCAGATAGCAAGAAAATGTGAAAGCGGCAGATATAAAAATGTTAAAAAGAAGATAGAATATGTACACTTTGTAATTTAAATGAAATTGAAGATAAATACCACTTTCTCCTCATCTGTCCATCATATATTCAATACGTTGTAAATACATTAAAAGATATTACTATATCCATCCAAGCATCATAAAATTCTCTACCCTTATAAGCAGTAATCATCAAAATACATGACAAAATCTTGCCATGTTCATTCACATTGCTGGGCGGTGGGGTAGCCTAATGGTTAAAGCGTTGGCTCGTCACGCCGAAGACCCGTGTTCGAATCCCCACATGGGCACAATGTGTGAAGTCCATTTCTGGTGTCCCCCGCCGTGATGTTGCTGGAATATTGCTAAAAGTGGCGTAAAACCAAACTCAGTCAGTCAGTCATTCACATTGAATGTTCTATAGCTTTATCACTGTTATGTAAATATATTTATTTATGTAATTCTCCATTATATATGTATATGTACTATAGGCCTGTAGCCTCTTCAGTGCGAAAAAAAGATTGATTAATTGAGCATCGATCTACGCAGTGGGATACGATGACATGTGTTAACCAAGCCAGCGAGCCTGACCACCCGATCCTGTTAGTTGCCTCTTATGACAAGCATGGGTTGCTGAAGACCAATTCCAACCCAGATTTTGACGGGTAGTGGTTAAAGCATTCAATTGCCACGCTGAACACCTGGGTACGCCTAATCACATGGATGCAATGTATGAACCCATGTATATGATATTGTTGGGATATTGCCAAAAGCGGCGTAAAACCACACTCACTCACTCAGTCATACTTAGCCCTGCATTTTTCAGTTCGCCATCAAAACACGTGATTCCTATCAAACAAAGATGTTTTGCTAGTTCAAATGTGTACCCCATGTTCTTTCTTGTAGACGTTTCACGGATGCATGTTGTGATGAAGATTAAGAAAGTAGGAATAGGTTTGGCAAACTGACCTGTAAGTTCGGGTTTTCATTTGTACGGCAACGTGTGCGCACGTGTGTGGATGCATGTGCTTGTCGGGTCTAATTTGCAGTGCTAACTCAGACACCAAGTCTATCAGTCCAAGTTTTGTCCGATTAATGCCAGGCAAGGAAACAACAATTAACATATAATCCACAATGCTTTTGCGACTGAACCCGTAAAAGTATCGTCGTATCGGGATCCGATAACTATGCAAATCACCTAGAAGGAACTACAATTAATCACCATACATTGATTCAGGGTTTTTTTGCATAAAAGTACAACATTTTCACCAGTAGATAATCTGTAACGCATTGAGAGTTTATCCCGCAAAACAATCCCCGTGAAGATCCGGGCTACAGTCGATCTGCAGCAACTCGTGCTTGTCGTAAAAGAGGACTCCCGAGATCGGGTAGTCAGACTTACTTGCGCTGATAGTCACTGGATTATCTGGTCCAGACCCGATTATTAGCCTGAATACTGCTGAGCGCAATGCAAGAGACAAACAAAACAAACTTGTCCTTCTGATCACGTGACACTTGTATCTCGGCGTTAGTATGATTCAGGTAACTGATTCAGGAAAACTTGCAACCAGCCAGACAATGTAGCTTTTACTGGAAAATCACATCCTTTTTTTGAAAATATCTAGCATATTTATAACTGAACATTGTATTGAAATGTAATCATGTACATTTAAATGAGTGCGACCCGTGAAGATCCGGGTTAGAATTGATCTTCAGTAGCCCATGCTTGTGGTAAGAGGCGACTAACGGGATCGCTGACCTGGTTGACATACGTAGATCGATGTTCATGCTGTTGATCACTGGGTTGGCTGGTCCAGACTCGATTAAGACTCAAAGAAAAGCAAGCTTGAACCAGCGCATGCGCGAGCATTACAAATGTCTTGGTCACAATATGCAAATCGCACAAAATGCACGTGCACACGTGCAAGTTTAAATGCAGCATGGGTATCTCGGAGCACGACTGTAAAGATCCTCATGTGTTAAGAGTGTAATGCATGACGTGACTGTGCAGCATATTTGTGTTCTATATATTTGTATATTTACTGATTTATTTTAACTTGCAAGTGATACGGGGCGGTGGGGTAGCCTAGTGGTTCGTCACGCCGAAGGCCCGGGTTCGAATCCCCACATGGGTACAGTGTGTGAAGCCCATTTCTGGTGTCCCCGGGATATTGCTGGAATACTGCTAAATGTGCCAAATTTGACTTGGATCTTACAAAAATTAAATTCATGAAAATTATTTATGCTACACTGAAATAACATGTAAGTCTATGGAAATTACGTCAAGTGTCCGAATACTTTTTGCACGACTCTGTACATATCTTGCCGAACTATTAAGCAGGTTACACCAGACTACGGGAAACAATGTGGAATAGGATCTGTATTTAATTATGTTCAACAGAAACATGTATACATTTTACCCACGAGAACCGGTATGATGTTAGCAAACAAGAAACATTAAAACAAACAGGAGTTCGATCCCATGATTACAGGTTCCGGGTGTACCTAAGGGGCATAATTCTGTTAGTTTTTGTGTGTCTATTTTGGGAGCAAATAGGCCTCTTATTGGCCCACGTCGCCCTGAAACTATAAAACCAACCAACCAACGTGTGTCTATTGTTTAAAGCATCACTGAGTAATATCACAGCAAAATGACAGCGGGCTGTAATTATCGAGCCTGAATCCGACAGTCCAGTGATCAACATCATGAGCATCGATCAACCCAATTGGGACGCGATGACGTGTGTGACACAATTCTGTACAACGACGATTGTGACGAGTTGACCTCCGACGAGTGGGCCACACGTGCTCGTCGGCGCGAGGAGTGAGCAAATAGAATGATACGCCGCATTTATCGGCAAGATCACGGCGGATGAAGCAACGAATAAGCCTTTCACAGGCAGTGTACACATTTAAGAAATTTAGACTCAGACTTTGGTGGAAATATCCGCCGTTTTCCATATGGACATTGCTGTGATATGGCATTTAATACTTGAAAACGTCTTACACGCGTAAAGATCGGGGTTGACAGGTTTTCAGCATCTCATACATAAGGGCCTTGCGGTAACCTTGTGGTTAAGCGTTCGCTTGTCACGCCGATGACCTGGGTTCGCTTCCACACATCAGTACAATGTGTGAAGCCCATTTCTGGTGTCTCCGCCGTGATATTGCTGGAATATTGCTAAAAGCGGCGTAAAACTAAATTCACTCCCACCCTCCCACGTAACGGAAGAGATCTGGTTGTCGGACTCACTGTATTGGTTAATGCTGTTAACGTAACTGCACTGACTGAAGCTCGTGATATCAGTCAATGGATTGTCGGGTGCAAACTCAAATATTTTCAGATCTCCGTTATATATAGCAAGCATATTGCCGAGTGCGGCGTTGAACAAAACAAAATAAAAGGTATATAAAAATACTTAATTTCTATCTTTGCCTGTGAATCTAATATTTTTAGAAAGCTGCAGAGCTGAAAATATTTCCTTGAGAAATAGTTTCATAATCCCAAAATATCTTTAACTGTAGCATACTTAAATAATCATTGTATCAGTTCCTTCCAGGAAATGATAATGACATATATAACAGTTCACGTGTTTGTGTAATCAGCTGTTTCTAGGTCGAGCTGACCTTGATGATTAATTATGTGTATCGAGTTCCTTTTCAAAAAGGCAATGTTTCTCTCTGTATGTGATCTGGAGTAACTCGGATAGCTGACAGAACGCACGTTTTCCTCGTGCAGACTTTGGAATGGGCTAGCTCATTTTAAGTAAGGGTTGATGGTTGCCATCGCTACGAATACTCATTCTTTGAACCTCATAGTTGGATGATGTGCTGAGAATCATCTATATCAGCAAATATGTTTGTTTTTCAACGAACACCTACTTAAGGGACTGCAATATTTCATGCCCTCCGGCGGTGGTAGGGTAGGCGGGGCGGTGGGGTAGCCTAATGGTTAAAGCGTTGGCTCGTCACGCCGAAGACCCGGTTCGAATCCCCACATGGGCACAATGTGTGAAGCCCATTTCTGGTGTCCCCCGCCGTGATGTTGCTGGAATATTGCTAAAAGCGGCGTAAAACCAAACTCAGTCAGTCAGTGTTAGGGTAGCCTAGTGGTTACAGCGTTCGCTCGTCACGCCGAAGGCCCGGGTTCGATTCTCCAAATGGTACAATGTGTGAAATCCATTTAGGTGTCACTCATCGTGCTATTGCTGGAATATTGATGCGGCGTAAAACCTTACTCACTCACCACCTTTCTTGGCTGTCCACTTACAAGTTTCATTACCGTGATAATATATACGGGAAAAATATTGAATCAGCATATCAAATACTTTTACTTCCGTCCCGAACCTCCCCAAATAGATACTCGAATCAAGCATCTCAACAGGCCGTTGAAGTCTAATTCATGATAGCTACATGCGTGTCACAAAGTTCAATAACATGGGCTCAGAACATCTGACAGAGGAGAATCAGAGATGAGTTCATCAAGTAAATACAAATGTGTAGGCACCGTGGGTTGTATGATTCCCGGGGAGCTGAAACTTAAATTTGAATGCTCACCCTTGACAAATGTAATAATGTCATGTAATCGCGATGGGGGATGAACCTTACAAGCATGGAGTGAGTTTGGTTTTACGCCGTGTTAGCAACATTCCAGCAATATCACGGCGGGTGACATCAGAAATAGGCTTCACACATTGTATCCATGTGGGGAATCGAACCTGGGTCTTCGGCGTGATGAGCGAACGCTTTAACCACGAGAATGTCCCACTGCCCTGAATTTACAGACAGAGTGTTATTAACTTAACTGAATTAATTTTGCATGAAATTAATTGGTCCGAGTCAAGTTCGTGACGTGCGAACGCTTTAACCACTAGGCCACTCAACGCCCCACCCCACCTTACCCCAATGACGTACGGGTAGCCTTGTGGTTAAAACGTCTGCACATAACATCGGAGGCCTAGGTTTGGACCCACGTAGAGGTACACATGTATGAAAGTCCAATTGTTATGTCCCATGCCGTAATATTTCTGTAATATTGCTAAGAGTGCTGTAAAAATCCCTTCACCTAAGTGGTGAGGTGAGGTGAGGTGAGGTGAGGTGAAATTGGGTTTTACGTCGTGCTTGAGAATATTTCGCTCATACGACGACGTGCATGCGTGTGTATGTGTATGTGCGGCTGCTTGTACTAGCCCAGACTGAAGCTGGTTTTATAGTGCTAGCCCACTGAGATATTATGCCACAGTGAAGCATGAATACCCCACTCAGACACATTATACTGACTCCGAGTCGACCAGTCCTTGTTGTACCCATTAATGCCGAGCGCCAGGCAGGGATAAACAAGTACCATATTTTAACGTCTTTTGGTATGACGCGATCGGGGATCGAACCCGCGACCTTCCGCTCTCCGGGTGGACGCTCTAACCACTACACCACGGAGGCGGTTTTTCACCTACGTGTCCATGTTAAAAGCAATGTTTAATCTAACCCATTCACTGTTACTTTTGTTTGGTATATTGAACAAAAAGGCGAAATAATAACAAGCGAGTAATTATCCTGTATTTGTTTTATGATTTTCAGCAGTTTATAAAATTCAGATGCAACATCTTAAACAGAATTAATTTCTTCTTTGAGTAGCATTTAAAAAATGAGAAAGTACAATACTGACAAATATTATGAATAACAACTTTTTTTATTTCGTAAGTGAGATGTTTCAATACCATTGTCTTGTACCATTGTCAATGACGAATAAGATAATTTCATTATTGTTTCTACACATTATAAACGACTTTTGTGTTATTTTACAGCCAAACTTGAGGGCTCTGATTTCTTCGACCGTATCCCAGGACTCTGTCGCGCTATAGGGTCGTTGTGCACGATGTCGTGCGTGGCGTCTCTCATGACCATCGCCGCCATGAGCTGCAACAGATACATCTTCATCGTCCACAGCAAATACTACAGTACCATCTTCAAGGCCCGCAATTGCGTCATCTACTGCATGAGCTTCTACTGCGTCGGACTCTGCCTCGTTCTGCTCAACTTCGCTGATATTGGCGACCACAACTTCGACCACAAGAGCCTTGAATGCATCTGGGCACGGATGGCGACATATCCCTACACCGTGGTATTCTCAATCGTGTTGGTTTGGATACCAATCACTGTCACCGGAATCTGCTATCTGCGCATGTACCTGCACGTGCGAGCCGTGAGAGCGCGCGTCAAGCAGTCACGTGGTGACAGGTCAAAGACCAACAAACCCCCTAGTTTCCGGCTGGCTCGAACACTGTTCATCATCTATGTGGTGTTCAGCGTGTGCTGGATCCCCTACGCACTGATCATTGTCCTGGACGCGAGTGACACTTTTCATTTCGGGGCGCACGTGTACATCGTGGTTTTTGCGCATTTGCACCCGTCAATCAACTGGCTTGTCTATTACGCCACTCACCGGAAGTTTCATAACGCGTTCCTTGAAATCCTGCACCTCAACAAGTGTTTGAAGAGAAAACCGGATGTGACGTCATCATCAGGGTCCCAAACGCCTTTTGACAGTTCGAAACAAACAAGTACCACTGATGAGTGATCCATTCTTGACGAATGAAGTAGTGATCGATGGTGTGAACATTTTCCTTGCCGTCAGGGTACGATGCCACACTAAAGAAACCACGCCTATGGATTGTCTTATTGACATTCAATATTAAGATAGCTTTCTGCCGAGGATCATAGAAGCTCTCGTCAGGTGAACGAGTGGCGAACTTTGAACACCCATGTAAATGTAATATTTGGCAAATCAGATGCCAGGGTTTTAAAAACGATTTGGCTTGATTTCTTTAAAATCAATATGAAACATATAAGTGATATTTGTCAGATTTAAAACCCGAAACCCACTTTTGAATTTGAGTATAGCGATTTTAAATTCATGAAATTCCAAGATTAAATGTTTTATCAAACTTTTAAAACGAAAGAATAGTTCAAACAACATTTATCAGAGTGTATCAATTTCAAACATACGTTCTTCCATGAACCATGGGAAGCGGACGTAGAATATCCTGACCGTTGAGTCCTTGATATCAGTGCCTGCTCTGCCTCGTGGCACATTCTGTACATTACAGATAAGTACGATGTGGATTGGATCCACGTATATATATCGAGAAAAGATGTTATTCTTTTGTACATGTACATCATTTCGATCATTTATGACATTGTGTTCAAATGTGAAATATATTTCTTGTGAGACTTTACATTATCAAAGGATGTTGTATAAAATCACTGGGATTTTGCAACTTGCATGTTCGTGGGATTTTACCCTATGGGTCAACAACAATGTGATGTCATCAGAGGTGTATAATACATCGATTCAGACTTGATACAGACACAGACTGCCGGTGTAGGAGTGTAGGTGTAGGTCTGTGATGGAGGTAGACGCCTGGTTGTCTATACAAGGATTTACTGTGAACAACGAACACATCCCACGGGAACAGCCACATGTAAATAGACATTGCACAGATGTAAACACTTTTTACACCAAGTACAATAAGTACAGCCAACTGCAATATTTGTTGTTTTATTGGCTTCCAGGATACACTGGGTCTCTGTTTGCAAATATAACACATGTCTGATTTGAGTAGCTGGAATATTGCTGAGTGCAGCGTAAAACTAAACTCACTCACTCTGATTTGAGTTTTTGGCTGTAGTAGCTTAGTGAAGAGTCAAATACATGTATACCCATCGCGGCCCATGCGGGTCAAGAATAGGTGGCAAGTCCAGATTACCACAGTTTCTGGTAATGAAGAAAGTCTCTGCGCTCCTTTGTATTATTTTTCATGTATATTTGATGAAACACACGTGGCACATGTGGTCTCATCCGAGGCAAACGTGTTTGTTCAAAACTGCCTCTGTTCACCCAGCAGTGTATGGGTACCCGGCATCTCCTAGCGCCTTACAGGCAGCTTGGGTTAACCGGGTAAAATATCTTAGCGTTTTTAGCATGTCCACTTGCGTGGATACAGACACTCTATTAATGACCATTATTATTATAATATAATTTCGGACCCGTTTTTTTTCTGAAAAATATGTTCATTTTAGAGACTAGATGTTAGTCCACTTTGTGCATAACGTGTTCGCTCGTCACGCTGGTTCGATTCCCATGGGGTACAATGTGTGAAACCATTGCAGCCACAATGTGTTAAAACGGCATTAAACTATACGCACTTGTGAATGTCAGCTAAAATGGATAGGGTGGTTGCAGCTTTTGTCTTTGTACATGGCTCATCACTGTGGATCGGTGCTCATGCTGACGATCACCTGTTTATCTGACCGATTATATGCTGCCGTGATGTATACTACTCCACTTTTTTAATTGGGATAATTATTATCTTTCCATCGCGCTTGGTCTTGTGCACAGAGCTCAGGTCACGAATCAGTTGAAATTAAGCAACGTCGAGCTCGGACAATCCTTGGATGGGTGCCCGTGTTTGCCAGCTTGACTCCTGAGAGTTTCTAGGACTTCAGTCCTGACCCACAACGAAGCACATGTGATACATGTGGTCTCACCTTAGGCAAGTGAGTTTGTTCAAATTGCCTCTGTTCACCCAGCAGAAAATGGGTACCCGGTTGGATAAAGTCATGTGACTAACCTTCTAGCGGCCAACAGGCACTTTGGGTATTCTCTGGGGTAATATAAATCAGATTCTGATTAAGCGCCGCGAGCAATCACTTCGTGTTTGGTGACTGTGCGCTATAGAAGATGACTTATTATTATTATTATTGTGACGCCGAATCTATTCTCATAACATGTCAAGTGTATTCAAACAGAATGACATATCGTAATGTCCCTATCAGAAGTTGAATTCTAAAATATTGAATATTACCTATAGCAGTGTAAATACAATATTCACATACTCTCATTATCATGAGCCAAAATGTCAAATTATGACACTGCCTCTATAAGTGTCATTTAGAAGCAGGTATGATGAAGAGGAATACATTTATGGATAGACAACTTCGTTATTTCATTCGGTGTAGATACTAACACCATCAAGCAAGTGAAGTTCGATAACAGTGTCAGTATCTACACCGTAACGTCACATCTATTACAATAAACAAATTGTCTATTTATAAAAAGTGCTCCTCTTTATGACGCTGATATTAAAAATGTCATCACTGATGACAATTTGTGCTACTTGAACAAATACTCTTTTTCACAAAAGTCTCTTTTCGAATGCCTCTTGAACAAGTATTTACATTCTCTGATATTAGGGGCGGTGGGGTAGCCTAGTGGTTAAAGCGTTGGCTCGTCACCCCAAAGACCCGGGTTCGATTCCCCACATGGGTACAATGTGTGAAGCCCATTTCTGCTGTCCCCGCCGGTGATATTGCTAAAAGCGGCGTAAAACCCCACTCACTCACTCACTCACTCTGATATTAACATCGTTGTGTGAATCTGCTATATGGTTGTGTGATATGTACATGATTTTCATCGATTACTTACAAATCAATATTATGTTCTTTGTCTGTGTTTGATCGCAATGTGTGTATAGATAAAGACGGATATAGTTTCCTGTTAACAATTCACAAATATGATAACCAGAAGGTGTGAAAGATATTTCATTACTTATTCTAAGTTCACACTTTTTTAAGGATCAAACCATGATTCAGCAGAAATCTCATGACTTTGTTACATTGGTCAAATTTGGTTTAAATATTGACCAAGCTTATTTGTAAGCATGGTTTTCCTAGGTTTCAGTATGTCATTGCATCTTGTTGATCCCATACCTGCTATTGACAAGTGTTGTTTATTTGTCAATGACTCGTTCCATGATTTGATCAAACTGGTTGATTGTGCCATGAAAACCATTCGTATGGTCAACCTCATGTATCAAGATGCATAAGGTTAGAATAAAGTGGCTGTCCGACCTAAAGAGGGGTTACCATATTATTAGTTCTCCAGTTTTATATGGATACAATTTCATATAATAAATCTACGTTTAAGTAAAGTTGTGAATTTTGTGATCCTTATCAAAGTGTGAGTAGTATATATTGCCCATTTATGATTCGTCTGGTTCGTTGAAAAGACCAACCACAGCACAAGTGTCACTTCCACGGGATAGTGCGTGAATTTCGTGCAGCACGTGCACTACAGTCACACCAGACTCACGGTGGACGAAACACGCCTTAACAAGGCTATAAAACTTGGACCGACAGTACGGCTGAGACGAGGGGAAGGTGAGAGGTTTGGTCGTGCTGAAGGGAAAATTTGCAAATTTTAGATTCTTTTTCCTCATCGCTACGATAATCGTAACTCAATCACTCTGCTTTCAACCAGAAGTAAATCACAGCTTGAGCTATTGTTTTACACTATGTCTCGATGACTTTAAAACAGAGAATTGAGATGGGGAAGCAGACATAAAATACACTTTGTAGGACCTGCACGACTAATCTTTGACAGACATGTCACTATCGAGATCCACATTGGTCCTTTCGCGCAAGTCTTTTCCAGAAACTAAATAACTGTTTGAACTGAAAATGTGATTCAGTGAGAAACTGCGATTCATACCTGAACCTTAGTTAAGTCTAGACTTTTTGGGAGCTTATACACAGTGCCCGTGGCTAGTAAAACTCCAGTCGGGCCAGTAAATCTCCTGGTCTGACTGGCTAGTATATTTTCATTTAGTCATTTTGTAAATATACCACTCTCTCCGACTTATTAAGTTTCTGCATTCAAATTTCGGGCTAGTGATTTTTTGTGGGCCAGTAACTTTCAGGCATAGCTATTCCGACCGGCGAGCAAAATTTGGAAACTTTCGCACACTGCTTATGCAACACAGATAGGGCCGAGCGGAAGGGAAAATAATGTCCCAGGCACTTGGAGGGAATGAGAGTAGCTGGGAGGTCTGCGACGGACGTACAGCGGCGTCCGTAATATTCCAGCAACATTTTAGCCATGTTGGGAATCGAACCCGGGTTTTCGGCGAGACGAGCGAACGCCTCAACCACTAGGCTACCCCACCGCCCTAATATTTATAAAGATGCTTTTAAAGTCTATCAAACCTTTTTTTCATAACATAACAGAAACATCGATGAAAGTTCATGTATGTGCTTGATCATCACCATGGCAATAAATGGAAATCTTGTCGGCAGTGGGCAGTACAAAAACTTGAGTAATACAGATTTTGACTGAAAACTAGCAAGTTATCATATAACGATATCGCTATAGAGAAGGATACTGTGTAAACACGGGCTATCGATCGCCAGCAGCTGAAGGTACGAGATCGATCGTCGAGCAAGATTAGGTGAGGAGTTGTTTTTTATTTGTTTGTTGTTTAATGCCGTACTTAGCAATATTCAAGCTATATTGCGTCAGTCTGTAAACACACACACACACACACACACACACCCAGTGATCAACAGCATGAGCATCGTTCTACGCAATTGGGATACGATGACATTTGTCAACCAAGTCCCGATCCCGTTAGTCATGTCTTAGGACCAGCATGGTTGCTGAAGACTAATTCTAACCCGGAACATCACGGGTCTTCTGGGAAAGGAAAAAAACCGAAAAAAAGTATTGTTTTTTATAATGCAACTTTCTTATGACGTCCAACTTGTCCATAATGTGTGTGTGGATCTTCACGGGTCTAGGGGCGTTGGAGAAGATAAAGCAAGTTGGTACTCCCAATTACAGATTTTTGCTAAGATTTGATCAATGAGGCTATGGAAAGTTAACTGGATGAGAAGCTACACATCAAACACCCAAATCAATCAGTCATGTGTACTGTCCATATATAGTTACTAATAGATAGAAAATGATTAAGAGCGCATCGCATACGTAGCCATTGTTTACACAGACCCACATATCTACAGCTTGTATCCCCACAGACCAATCACCCGGGCTGCCAAGGAAGGCAGATTCTAAGCCGTCGACGGAGATGGAACAGGCGAATCTCAATGGAATTCTGTCGGATACACTAAAATGAACAACGATTACGTGAGTATTCAAAATTTCTGAATGACCATAACATGGTACCGCCATCTACAAAGCACCCGTGAAGATCCAGGGTGTAATTGGGTTAGAAATGCTTGTCAGAAGAGGCGACTAACGGGATCGGGTGGTCAGGCTCGTTGACATGCCATCATATCCCAGTTGCGTAGGTCGATGCTGTTGATCACTGGGTTATTTACAGCTGCAACCTTAGGCGTGTCCGGAACCTTCGATCTTGGGTTCGAATCCTTGATCTGTATAACAGAATCACTAAAGAGCAGATATTCATTTGATATCAG